GGGGGAGGAGGAGGGAGGCGCGGCGGGAAGGGTGGACGACACAGGCGAGCGAGACAAGCAGGGACCTGTTGTAGCTTGAAGCTTCTTAGTCTGCAGTCGCTTCAGTTTGGATTGAAATCGACTCCCTAGAGCAATGTTTGCAAACAGCGAAATTATGGATCGTAGACGGTGTATGCTGAGGCGGTATGCGGCCTCTTGCGACAATAATTCGGCAAGATTAAGGCAAGTGGAGTTTGGGCTAGTCAGAATTAAGTCCATTCCGGACGATGCATTGGGCAGTCCGTAAATCGGACCACGAAGAAGTGCTGGATTTCGTTTCATGGGCATCACCGGCTGCCCCTCAACAATGGCACCAATGTACTTTGACGCCTTGCGTAATTCGAGCGCATTATGAGCGCTGTTCAACAATTCCAACTCTTGTCCTGTCCATCAGATTGATCGAGATGATGGATCAACGAGAACAGCGGTGCCCGTGCGGGTGCCCGGGGATGCAGTTCCATGAGGAGCGCGACGCCATCAAAATAAAAACAAAGGAGAAACACAGCTCCAATGTCCATGAAGACAAAGTTTTTGGATTTGAGGTGCTGCGTTTTCAGGTAAGAAGTTTCTACTGTAATTGTTGCCACAGTCAGAGTCAGTGTGCCAGAGTATGCTGGGGCTGCTGGGACGGGAAGTCCTCAATATTCATTATATTACTTTCTTTCAGGGGAAACATTACTGTCCTGAAAAAATTGCACCCATTTGGAAGAAGGACTGCAGAATGTGGCTGTGGAAGTGTTCAACGCAAGATAAAAATAAACCCAACAAACGTGTAGAGAAAGAGCCAAGAGGTTGCTAATCGTGAGGGGAAACGGTCTTGGTAGAACGTGACATGTGTTCTTTGATGTGATGAACTGACGTTTCAATAATAATTATCAGAAAAGAATATCACTAAATTTAGTGTCGTAGAATTTCACAGAGGGATCCCCCCATGAATCCCCAATTGATCAAAATCCTCTATTTAACAAGAGTTATGATAATTGTTCAATGAACTTGATGTTAAATGTGAAATCGTGTAAATTAAAGAAGACAAGTAGCCATAGTACGGCAACATCAAATGTGAAATAGGTAGGCTGTATTGCGCACCTGTATTAGGCGTTAAGTGTCAACTAGTTTATATGTAAAAATTTTAAGTCCTACTTTCCTGAAGCTTGGAAATATTTAAACAAGTTATTGCACAACAATGTTCAGAAAAGACATCAAATATGTCTAAAGAGATTATCAATTTTAATTTAAAGTAAAAACTGATGTACAATATTATCTTCTTATAGACCCTCATTTATGAAGTTATGTTTTTGCTTCAGAAAATTGAATTTGAAAAGACTGTCTGTAAATTTTAAAGCTGAAATGCTGTATATATTTTCAGGACAAAATGTTAAATTGTATGGCACAACTTAACAGCAGAGGGGGAGTAAATCAGTTTCCAGTATTGAAAATGCTGCTTACAAATTGTGAAACAGCATCTGTACATAGAGATAATTCCTTTGGTTTAAAAACAAACTGTACAAAAATTAAATATTAGATGGTTTCTGTTTTGTTAATATTGGATTATTCATTCTTCAAACACTTTCCATTTCCTCATTACATCAGTATGAAGTACTTCATATTTTCTTTTCATAAAGAACAACTCTTTGAGGATTGTTTCAGAAAATTTTTGAGAAATTATCACATCTGAATTCACCAATAAGAAAAAGTGACAAACACGTCAAATGTTGAAATAAGCAGAAATTTTACTGTTGCAAATTACCTCATTATTTACTAGTTTACAGTTGTGCACTGTATGTACTTTTTCATCCATCCCTACCAACTTACCCTAACTCGGGATATTTTAAAAAGCTTTTATGCTTGGGCTCTCACAGATGATGGCTCTTCATTACTTGTTTCTGCTTCCCCAACTTCAAACCGAATAAAGTCCACAACCTTAAAAAAAAAACAAGGGCTCAATAGTTAGTTAGGAAAGATATATGCAAAGGAAAATGTTTGTGTGTTTACTTACTGCAATATTGTTTTCATCAAGAATCTCTTGAACTTTGGTTTCAGGATCGAGGATGTAATCCTGATAGATCATAGTTTTTTCATCATCCGCATTTTCATGGGGCTTGTCCTTTTCCAAGTCGCCTACTATCTTAGGATTCATACCTAAAATTGATTACATACATTGCAAACATTACTAACTCAAACAGTGATATGAATATGATATCCAAGGCAAACAAACAGTTTACCAATAACATGCTGGCAAAGGTGTCTTCCTATAGTTTGAGTTTCATCAGTTAAAGGCTCATTGTCTTTAGGGTGATATGCAACTATTGCACCATATTTTCCTAAGAGAGGGCTGTTTGGATCTTGGGGAGCAGGATGTGAATGACCTGCCATCAGTAAACATAATACATATAATATACAGGGTTAAAATGAAACATATGAAACTGTAAAACAAACCAAAATTGTATTTACCTGACAAGAGAATTTTATCACTGACTGAAATCAAAACTGCCCGTTTTAAAACCATGTTCTCTCCCAAAATGCCGATTTGAAGGGCAACATGATCTGCTAGAGTTTTACCATCAGGTGCAGCCAAACTACCCACTGCTTTCCCATCCAAAATTTCCTAGAGATTTCAGGAATACAATAAGTCAAAAAGCCTAAGCAAGACACTAAAACTTTGTAAAATAAAAATGTTACTTCAGTTAAAATGTTTCTTCACAAACAAACCTTATGAAGTGACTTTGTTGTATTGCAAACTTGAGGAACTATACTAATACAAGATTTGGCAATTAGATTAGCAAGAGTCTGAAATGAACTATTACGAGAGACAAAATCTGTTTCACAGTTCATTTCCACCATGGCTCCATGATTCTTATTGATCACTATTGCAATAAGGCCTTCTGATGCTTTTCTTCCTCCAACATTGGTTGCTTTTGTCCATCCCAAAGCTTGAGCTTGCTCATGAAGCCACTTTTCGGCCTGCAATCAACACATTAATTTAAAATGTTTCAAGAGTAAGGGAAATTTAGAAAGTCAACAAATATGAACAAACCTTTTCTAAATCATTATTGTGCATATCAAGCGCCTTTTTGCAGTTAGAAAATGTATATCCAGTTTTCTTGCGAAGCTGTGCAAGATGGCTTTTGCTTGTGTTCCACACCGAAGTGGTGGAACCAAAAAAGCGAACAAATTGCTTTGACACAAACATCCTGAATAATAGACAAGAGAGAACATGGCAGTATTAATGAGCTACACAATACAATTTAAAAGGGAGAAAAAATGTTATATATAATAAGACTGTCATTCAAACAAAAAATCCTTCTTCAAATTTCAAAAATAAAAAATTCCTACAGAACACCTTATATAAATTTAGGTTATAATGTGCCCCTAACGATTATTTTCTGTGGGGATGATGCAATAGGATTTACAACTTTGGTGCTTGTACAAGAATTTTACGAAATTCGGAAGTCGTGGCATAACAAAAACAATGCAAAGCAATCCATACTCAGATAAACCGGTAGTCGAAGAATAGTTGAATGAATGAAGAGCGATGGAGCAGTAGCAGACGAGACGGGAGAACATGCACGCCCCCCACCCACTGGATCCTGGATCATTCACGGGTGCGGGCGCCAGGCGGGCGCGACCCGAGTGTCCGTTTAAACGAGGCGCGCAAGTGCCGACTGGGTGCCTTGAGAAGTGGGTGCCGAGATGATGCGCGAGGATGAAGCTACTGAGCTTGTCGAGTACACAATGTTGTAGAATGTTTTCATGAGGCACCCGAGAGCAGATTAATGTATTTTTGGCCTGTGCGGCAAGTCAGGTATAAATGCAACTTAAAAAGCTTTGGCCCAGGCGCTTGCAAACCGCGGTTAGCATTCCCCAAAAGACACTAACTGAACCAACATTTTAGAATTAAATTGATATTTTTTTCGACAAGATTTATTCTAAATCGTCTACACCACGCACTGCATGAAGTAACAACTTTTTCTCTAGCAATCTCCCGACGATCCGTCAAGGTGACCATCAAACATCTCTTTTTTCTACCTGTGCCTGCTGTCTTGGCAAATGTGCAGTCAAATTTCTACCACTTCCCTAGATTTAGAATAAAAAAGCTAACGATTTTCTTGCTAGCCGCGAAAGAAAAGTGGTATACATCATGCGCTGCACATCTGCCAAGACAGCGGTAAGTGCTTGGGGCCTGTTTAGTCCCTGTGGCGCCGCGGGGTCGAGGTGCTATAGGTAGCTACTGACTCGCAACCCGTTTCTGAGCGCGGGTAACCCTCCCCTATACTCCGCTCCCCGCCGCCACTCACGCAGGCTGCTGGATAATGCACGCCCCCTCATTGAAGTTGAAGTTGACGCGTGCAATTATTACTGGTTGGCCGTGCGTGAGGAGGGCTGGCGCCGCTGGCGCCGCAGCCGCGCACGACCCATCGCGTGCGGAGTACGGCCCGCACGGCCACACGGAGGGCTTGGACAACTTGCGCGGGTTCCTGGCTCATCCAACCGTCAGCGGAGCAGGACTCAGGGCGGCAGGCAGGCCAGGCCCCTGCTCGAGGACAGGGCGGGCCTCCCGCTTCTCGGCCGTGTTCAGCGGGTCGGCCTACCCCTCAAGGAGTCCGAGCCAGCTGTGGCCGCTGCTGCAGGACTCAGGGCGGCAGGCAGGCCAGGCCCCTGCTAGAGGACAGGGCGGGCCTCCCGCTACGCGGCCGTGTTCAGCGGGTCGGCCTACCCCTCAAGGAGTCCAAGCCAGCTGGCATCATGAAGGTCGTGGTGGTCGCTCCTGCTTGCTGTAGGTTCGCTTTATCTTCCATGGCGTCCTGCGCTGCGTCCTCATCGCGTCCTGATGAAGCATCTTTGGATTCCTTCGCGCACGGCGATTCGGTACCCGTCGTTGTAGTTTGTTTAGCAGTCGATGCTCTATCGTGTTGTTCTGGCGATCGCCTGGAGCTGGCCGGCACTCCTGACTGACCACCTCCTCGCAGAGGAGTCGAGACGCTGGGGCTGCTGCCACCCTGACGTCGGCCGCTGGTCTCCACGAGAATGACGTGCCGTTGTCGGAAGTAAAGTCGTCTGCTTTGTAGCCATCCATTTGCGTTGTTTGGTCTTCTGGGGTCGGTTGTCGGGGGGAAGGGTTGGTGTGGTGCACAGCTGAGGAGATGGAGGTAGCTGCTGGAGATCGGTCGTCTGCGTGGCTGGAGGGGTGGGGTACAGTCCAACCCCCCGCACTCGGAGGGGTGTATGTAGATTACCCTGGGTAAAGCGCTCTCTCTCTTTACGAGATTTTGGGACGAAGGAACGAACGAACGACGAACGGACGGACGGAACGATTGAAGTATTTGTAAATGAAGGAGCGAATGGGGGCTAAAACATCTGTAATAGCGATTGAAGGACGATATACACTACCAATCAAAATTAGCGGTCCACCGTTTTGCTCCGGTGCCATTTCCCTGTTTTTCGAGCTACAGCGCTGAGACTTTGCAGGTAGGTGCTGTCATCATTCGTCTTGAGGCTCACGGAGTGCGCACACCGTGTGTCACCCCTTACGAGCTGTCTAACCCCTACAGTTGGGGAGGGTAAAAAAATCGCTCTAAACAGCTTCGAAATTGCCACTTTCAGTTCTGGGAAAGTCATGAGTTTTTGTGATAATCGGCCCAACTTTTCGTCCTCTTTCGATCGGCGTAAGCGAAATTGTGATCCGCCAAACCCACCTCCTCCTAGAGTCACCCCCACCTCCTTAAAGGGGTGAGTTTTGAGGAAAGTCCTACGCAGCTGGAAATCCTGTGGGTGGACGTCCACAGTACCCGGCCCAGCATGTGTTTTTTTTTTTTTCGAATCGGATCATCCCCAGCCAAACTACCCCCTCGGAAGTCAAACCCTTGTTTGAATACCGGTCATTTTGTACCCAAAGGGTTGAAGTGAAGGCGTGAAAATTTCAGGGGCGGTTCCTTTTCTGTTCTCAAACACTTCCGTGGTGGCGAACCCGTCGTCACCATCTTCATCCCCTTCCTAGGGGGTGGACACCCCCATGTGCCCCCGCATCCCGT